GTCCAACAATCGGTGGGTGCATCGTTACAGGAAGAAAGTCATAAAGTTGAAGAAGCTCTAACTTCTAACAAACAGGGGCAAATACCGAAACAGCGTTATAAAAGACAGGGAAACCCTTTTTAATCCCTGCAGTTTTACGGAAAAGCAGGTAACCAGAACATGCGGCAAGTATATCAAAGAAGCCGCGTAGATACGAGAAAAATAAAAATAAATCAGTAATGAAAACTATGATATAACAACAACTGTGAGTAAATAATTTACGTTTAATTTCTTAGAATACAACATTACTGTACATAAAAAATCACGGCATGAAATAAAATATGAATAAGCATCATCTTATTTAATCAGTGCAGTGGCTGAGACTAAAACACAAGCATATGAAACACGGTAACTGGGATAAAATAAAACGAATAAAATTCGACAATTAATTTCTTACAATAGGTAAAAAGTTCGCGTCACACCTTCCACCTTGTGACGGCACACGGGTTGCGGAACACTGGGCTAGAAGATACAACTCTTCATAACCGCCACTGTGAGAACCTCAAATCCTACATAACTACACATGCTTTCCATTCGGAAAACCGGAAGGAAAAAGTATGCTGGGAGACATAGTCGTAGACGGAAGAATAATTTGGAGTGGATCGTAGAGAAGTTTGGTGTGAGACTTATCGGGAATTAAATATGTAGCTGACACACGGAGGCAAGCGGTCAGCTTTTCCGATCACTCTAGTAAAGCCATTGTGTTCCATAAAAATAGGTGAAGTTGTCCCTGTGCTGAACTAATTCAACACTATGCCATGAATGCGTATGGGGGAGTGGATATATGGATCCCCATTTTCTTGATCTCGGCACTAGCTGGAGGTGAGTGGTCAGCTTCACGCCCATACACAGAGCCCCCGGTACCCACTGGATAGGAGGTTGTGTGGACCCCAGAGCCGGTCTGGACGACGTGGAGAAGAGAAAATTCTTGACCCTACGGGCACTCAGAACTCCATCCAGTCCGTAGCCAGCCACTATAGGGACCGCGCTTTCCCGACTCCTGTGTTCCACAAATGGCGGAGAATTATCTGACCAGTTGAGCGACTGGCAGTTTAACAAGATGTCTCCACTGTCCCTAATGTGTATTTATTGCTGTGTAGTACGCGAAATTTTTATTAGCTTTATGTACAACGTCACTTATAACTAGGGCCGCGCCATAGCTGAAGCGGTTAGTCGCTGGCTTCCCACCACGGCGGCCCGGGTTCGATCCCGGGTCTCGTCAAGTGGGATTTGTGGTAGACAAAGTGGCGCTGGGGCAGGTTTTCTCCGAGTACTTCGGTTTCGTTGCGCCAATTGCTCCACAATCACCCTCACCTATCATCTGGGGCTGGTACAATAGGGCAGAAGTGGCCGCAGTACAAGGGACTTAGTCCCACCCCACTAGCAATAAAAAATACTTATAACTATAGGTAGTGTGGATTCGGCTTACGAATATCACATTTCTTTTTGTATGCAATCAACATTTCACTCGTGGCTTCCAGCCGGTTTTCATATGTAAGGTGCAACACATAGGAAACTGACAGTTCCGTTAGCTGCGGACTTCGCAGCGTATTTTATTGGCTTGTTTCTGTAACGCAACGAACATAGGGCCACGTGATAGCGGCTATAAAACGTTAATTCCATGTAAGAAGAACCGAGGTCGGGCATGCGCAGTATTTCACCGCCCAAGCTGACGCAAGCGACAAGGCCTCTGACCTCTGTTCCGGAAGTGTTCGGTTCGAATCTCGCTACAGTGGGGGAACTAATTAAGAACAATGTTCTGGGGTGTGTTTTTGGACGAACGCCCAGCCTACAGCTTCAGGGTGAAAAAAGACCACGTAAAAATTCAAGTCAGAGTCTGAGACTTGAGATTCTAAAGACATTGACTGTGGAGATGCTTTCTGGGGTAAGGCGCCGTGTATCTGTCAGGGCTTTACCGACGTTTCGGGGTTAACTGAAGATGGAGCCAATGTGTTCTTCCGAAAAATCGTTATTGATCAGACTACATTCCGTCACATTTCACAGGATTGTTTTCTTTGTGGTCAGTGCCGCGAAGTTTCCTCCCATAATTTACTCATTCACTCCAGTCAAATCCAGGGATAGTACCCTCTCATCGTCCCTTTGTTTCACACAGTTTAGAATTCGTTAATCACCGAACGTATTCGATGTTATATACAGGGTGAAACAAGATTTGCGCAGAATCTCGCCATAATATAATTCCTTGTTAGACAAAAATAAGTCGAAAATGTTGCATAACATGTGTCGTGAGACGATTAGTTTTCGAGAGACACTTCACCGTCAAAGGGGTAACATTGCAAAGCACAGCGCGCCGTTAAGTGTGCTCCGAATAGCAGGTGTTAGTTGTGATCGAATGATCATGGAACACACACGCGAAGAATACTGCGACGAGTTCTTTAACCTTCGGTGCCTCCCGGAATAGCATAGTCGGTATAGCGACTGGCTGTGGACTGGACAGCCAAGGGGTCGGGGTTCGAGTCCTGGTGTGGTCAAGAATTTTCTCTTCACGTCGTCCAGAGTCCAGACCGGCTCTGGGGTCCACCTACCTCCTCCTATTCAAAGGTAACCGGGGGCTCCTTCCCCGGGAGCAAAGCGACAGGGCCATGAAGCTGACCACTCACCTCCAGCTAGTGCCGAGGGCAACGTAGTGCTTAGTTAACCACGGGAACGACTTTACCTTTCACCGCAAACAGTCCTGCTGCACGGGAATAGGGCTGCGTTATCCAGACGCTAATGTGTTTCGACGCGGAGCACGCGGTAGCGTAGTTGGTTCAGGCACTATGCAACAAGCCGGAAAGTCACGGGTTCGATTGCCGATGAGTTCATTTGATTTTCATTTGACCCAATTCTTGCAGCCGTACTGTGACCCCTGGGTCGACTCAGCCCCTGTCAGAAATAAGTACAGGAATCTTTCTGGGCGTAAAAGGGCGTACTGAACGTAAGGCTTAACAGTCTCACCGCCATCTGTTAGCCGATCGTCTCACAGCCCTGTGAGCCTCGACAGCCTGTTACTAATATGTTTCGATGATTTGAGCATCGTCCCCATGGGTCAGGAAGTCTTCGAAACGTGTGAATGCAGGTCTCCCACTGATTGTGTGGACAACAGCCATTGCAGATGCCATAACTAAAAACTGTGGAATCAGAACGGTGGAGAATCTCAGGCGATTTTGCACAGGAATTACCAGCAATCTTGAATCTTACATCTCTTTCCAGACGATAGCCCCCTTCTTATGCTTGTTTGAGAATTGCTACATCAACACATTAGGGATGAGCTCTTTTTACTGGTATCCTATGTAAGGCCGAAGCATGTTTCACGCGTGATGACGTATTCAACGTCCGCAACAGTGACTTCTGGGTACGAGATAATCCTAATGCTATCCGTGGACATGGGTATCAGTTCCCTTCAGCGTCAGCTCTTGGACTGGAATTGTCGGCGCCATGTTTATGGTCCTCCATCTGCTACCTGACACTGAATGCCCAAATATATCGTCATATTCCGTAGGCAGTTACCCCGGGCTGCTTGGAGATGGGTCTTCAGCTGTGTCCAGCGCGCTGTTATATGAATGAAACATATCCAGGAAGGTGTACCGGACATAGAGCGCCGAGTGCATGGCCTCCCCGGTCCCCGGATCTCACTCTGATGGACTTTCTCCTGTGGGGGACACGTGAAGGAGCATGTTTATGCAGTCCCGCCCAGGACTGACGAAGATCTTGTCAGGACTTCAACTGTCCATGTTGAAGTGTTAAAGCATGCTTGTTGGGAACTGCCTTGCGGCACGCTGTCTGCAAATGGACCTACGCTGACGAGGTCCCCATCCTATCACTGGGTACCTTGCGCCGTTTGACTGTAATGTGTAATTCGAAAACGTTACAGGACGTACGTTGTTCAAAATTTTAGACTAATTTTTTTAACATACTATGGAGAAGTCGTGCACTAATTTCGTTTCACTCTGTATAATGTATCTGCGATAAGGAGGAGGTTATTAAATGGCGAAAATGAAATATAGAAAGAAAAATAAAATGTAGACTGTCACATTGTATAAGATCATTTATGTCAGTGCGACTCGAAGTAGACTGTAAATGTGCGCAAGGTCCATGGAGATAACGGGGCGCTTCTACGGGTTCCTTGACGCCAGCTAACCAATACTTGGAATCTGTTCATCAAAACAGGGCCCTGCTAACCACTGAGCAGCGATTCAGCGTAGAGTCTTTGCTACAGTCTTGTCCATAGCGTCGCATGTTAGAATGACTGATGAATAATGGATTTGGAAGGAAGCGATCGTAACATAATTGAGGTCCTGTCCCGGGATTTGCCTGGAGGGACTGTGGAAGACCCCGATAACCTATCAGCTGAGACTATATGGCGTCGAATGACATAATTAGGGAAGTGCGTTGACGGAGCAGTTCAATATGATGTACTGATCAGGCCTTTGCCTGAGAAAGATCACGCAAGACGTCTGTGAGGAAAGTTGCCGTGGGCTGCACAGTTGAGATAGCCGGAGTAGCTCGGTCGGTATAGTTGCGGGTTGGACGTCCCGGGTTCTATTCCCGGCATGGAAAAATGCTTGTCCTCCAGAACGTCCAGACCAACTCTGGCCCACCCAGCCTCCTATGAACTTGATACCGGCGGTAAAGCGGCATACTGGATATTTTTGTATATACTCTCATTGTGGAGGTCTAAAGAAATTGAGTTATTCTTTTTGTTTCCAACCCGAAAATGTTCTCGCATCCGCACAGTAATTTGGAATTCTGAAGACTTTATTAAGACGTAAATATTTCTTGGCACTGCTGGAGTAATGACGTCCAGAAGAGGAGTTAGTCATCACTCATTTTGCTCATTATATTTTTGTTGATTAACGGGTTATCTCCAAGAGGCCACTTTGAAGAAAAGTTTCATTTTTATCAGCACGAGATAAGTATTATCACGGGACTAAGCATTTTTGACGTGTTGGTAGCTTAAACATGACACATGTCTGTCTACCGACCGCAGCCGGTGGCTGAAGTTTCTTTCCTCTCTCTCAGTTAAGTCACGAGAAAGCTGGCTGTCTACCGAGAACATTTCTATAACAGCCTTCTGTAGATGTAAATTAATGTTGGGGAACGTTGCTAGGCCCTTACGTGAAACATTATTGTTGTGTAGTGTCTGCCACGATATTGGCTTTTCGGTGTTTGTGTACTAAGTGAAGTGAACAAATTATTGTTTTGTAAAGTTGGTATTGTTTTTCAGTGATTTAAAACTTCTTTGTTTGTTGTGGGCCAGTTTTTTGCTGACCTGGTCACAGAAGAGCTTCAGAAACCAGAGGTAATGTTAATCACAGTAAATAACAGAGTGTTTGTAGCAGTTGACGAGTCGCCGTTGTAACCGACGACGTCCGCGGTTCGATTTCTCAAGCAGACTATTCTTTTCGAAGTTTATTTATAATCGTGGCTGACTCCATGATCCTCTTCCTCTCATGGAACCCAAATGCTCATTACCGTGTTCACAACAGCCCGCCACATTCCATGTAAACGCCATGGAACAGAGTCCTCGAGAAGTTTGTAGTCGCTCAGCCTGTGAACCCCTTCCTCGCCGTTTATAAAACCTGAATGTTCATTATCGTGTTCATAACAGCCCGCCATAGGTCCCTGTCCTGAGCCAGATTAATCCAGGCCACCTTCACATAATGCTTCCTTAATATCGCCGCAACTATGCCCGAGTTATTTTAATGCCGTTTTTTGTTTTCGGGGTTTGTTCCCAAAACACTGAACGCATTTCTACGCCGCCATACGTGCTACATGCTCCATACATCTCATCCTGCTCTCTGGCCAAGAATTCCAATTATGAAGCTTGTCGGTGTGCAGTTTTTTCCGGCCTTCTTTTGCTTAGGAACTGGTAGGAACAGTATTTTGGGTTCTGAAGTGTTGCCACTGTAACACTCGTTGAGAATTCAGCAGGAAACCCCATCATTTGTTATATAAACTTTAACTTCCCCTGCGTGTTATCGAGTGATGCATCATGGCCGACGTTTAACTCCAACTCCCACGAATAACACTCGTAAACATTCAATCGCAAACCGTCTCACTTTTATAGTATACTAACTCCATGGAACCCAACCCACCTTGAGGAGCTGCCAATTCTGCAGGTACTAAAGAACTTCCTAACATTATGTGGAACCCGAAGGTTCATTACCGTGTTTACAAGAGCCCTCAGCTGGTCACTATCCTGAGCCAGATCAGTCCAGCCCATACCACCCCATCCTGTCTCTCTAAAATCCATTTAATATTATCCACCCACCTACGTCTTTGTCTTCCTAGTGATCTTTATATTATAACTACACTTCACATATCCACATCAAAATAAAATTAGTACCCACAAATAGACACAGTACCTTGAAACAAAACACTTCTCGCTCGTTCGTGGCATTGCATACATTACTGTGAAGAACACGCTAAGAAACATTCGTGTTCCGCAAAATGCCATAAACTTCTTGAGTCTGAACACCTACGATTTCCCCAAGAAGGAACCCACTTGATACAGTGAGTCTTGAGTGGCTGAGCAACTGCTGGCTTCTCTAGGAGGACTCAGCTGCTTGAATTAAGTTAGTCGGAATGTTTTCTAAACATCAACGCATTCAGGCATACATTTAAGATTACATATGGGGAATTTAGGCAGCTCAATAAAGACGAATTGAAGTGGAAAGTGAATGGCTGGAAGACAAGCAGTAAAAAATATTTGCGAACGATGTAATAGAATTTAGTGAAAAGAAATGACAGGGCTCGCGGTAGCGTTGTAAGTTGAGGCATCTTGCTACAAGCCGGAAAGGCGTAGGTTTGATTCCTGATGAGATCATTGGATTTTTCAGTTGACCTAATCCTTCCAGCCGCACTATGGCCCTGGGGTCGACTCAGCCTCTTAACAGAAATGAGTACCAGGAATCATCCTGGGGTTAAAGAGCGGCCGGCGCGTAAGGCTGACAGCCTCACCCCCATCTGTGAGCCGATTGGCTAGAACAGGCATGTCCAACGCGTCGATCGCGGGACGATTTTGGGTCGATCTCATAGGCCTATAAGGAAATTATACGCGAAAAGCATGTAAATGCACTTGTAATATAATGTGGTTATGTTCAGATTTTGAAGGGAAAATGCGTGTTAAAGTAGCTGTACTTTCAATGTATGTTGCTTTTACAACAAACATCATGTGTCGTGTTATTTTTACCAATATTTTTGCTTAAACCGAGGTACGAAGATGGGGGGGGGGTATATCACTGGCAGTTTTGACGCTAAAAAGTCGATCACAACCATATGGGCCTCCACGGCTTGTTACAAGGATAGCTCTACATTTTTAAGAGTAAATCTTCTCAGTTTACGTTGCTATGATCGGGCTTTGCTTTCAGTAGCGTTGGCCTCAAGTCAGGAATCGACAGTAGCGAATAATAGCATTAACAAGAAAGTTAGCAACAGATTAAGTTCCGGGAACCTCCGTCTCATCTGCAGAGAGCTGAGGTTTAGAATGTTCAGAAGTAATTTATAACTGTACTACCTTCTGTTTTGCATGGGTGTGAACCTCAGCGTCCGCCCCGAAGGTGCAACATAAATTACGGCTGTTTGAAACTTGTGCTGAGGGAATATGAGAGTTGAGAAAATTATATATTGAGAAGTTTCGTAATTTGTACTCGTCATGAAGTATAGTTAGGGTGATCATGAGGACATGTAGCAAGAATGGGGAAGATGAGGCATGCATACAGTATTAATTAGACAATTTGAAGAGATCGGTTGGGCGAGTTAGTCCTAAATGGGAGGATATTATTAAAGTGGAATTTAAAGAATAGGATTGAGGTGGGCTTGATTTCATTTGCTCAACAAGGGGTCCATTTGATTTATTACTGTAAACATAACAATGATTCACGTTTCATGAGTACTCTCTTCTTGCATGTGATACCATGCAGTCTGGTACTTTACTTACGTTTCGGGAAAAGATAATCCCTCTGTCCTTCAGAGTAGAAATAACGTAGAGTCTTTACTTGCTCCTTGCTGTTGCTCTGTCTTAACCTTCCACACTGAAGATGGAGCCATTACATTCCTCCGAAACGTTGGCGAACTTCGACTACCGGGAGTCATGTTACAGAAGACAGAACTTTCGGATAGCCAGACCGATAAACTGAGCAACGGTTAGCTTCTCAAGAAAGGCTGTAATACATGAGTTGGATAGCATATAGGCTTGACCTCGACCCTGAATACGCGACATTCCCTACTCTGCGTTATCTCTCTCCATAACCACCGGCGTGAGGACCTCAGCTCCTACCTTCCACAGATTTCGTCATTATTTGGAGTTGCTGTCCAAATGACGTACCTTCGTATTGCGTTTTTGTGATCAGAGTGTGCCGGTTGTTGGTAACAATGGTGAGGTGCAAAACAACACGTCAACAATACCATACAATAAATTTCCCCTTCTTCCATGATATGTATACAGTTGCCGTCTTATAGTGCACTCAGTTTCACCTGTTACTTCACGACATGTTTCGGCAACATAGTGCCATCATCAGGTGCCCTAATTACGCTAATCTATTTCATTGCTTGCCTTTATAAAAGTATTTAAAAAGTGCGTATTTGTCAACTATAATAAATTTACACACACTAAAACTTGTTAAGATTATACATCTTATGTATCATAATTAAAACTTGCGGTGGTTCTTCCACCATGGGGGTCGTTTTTCTTACATTCTGTTGGCTGCGTGTGTGTCTGTGTGTATCCCCTTATCGTTGCTAGGTAACAACTCGGTAAAGACGTTCCCGCGATAACAAAGAACTAGATAATTTTTCTTTTATGTTACCAAATTTCGTTGATTGATGCAGTATTATCGGTGTGTATGAATTGTATAGGCGTATCATTTTGTCCCCGCACCCCCCCAGGTGCCCCCTTTGAATATTAACGGAATTGTCGCTTTATTACTTGATGGTTAAAATGGTTTTTAGCAGGTTTTACTTGTTTCGGCGTTTGAGTCAGCGTAGAGAATAACAAGTGTTGTGAGCTAAACGAAATTATCTGTTTATTTATTCATCGTGTCTCGCTGTTTGCGTCAGCGGTTGCATAAATGTCCTTGAGATAGTGATTTCAAGAAACCAGAATAGGCTGTTATACCCGTGCTTGGAGTGCATGTTTCTGGTCCCCATCGCGATAGAGCTTCAGGTTTCTAGTCCAAGAAAGAGGACGTATTTAAAAAAAATCGATGGACTTTACTACCAAGATGGCCGGGGTTCCATTCCCGCCGGAGGCAAGATTTCTCGGTACTCTAGCAGTGTTAAGACCAGTTCTGGGGCCCACCGAACCTCCTATTCAACAGGTACTGGAGGTTATTTCTGCGGGAGTAAAGCAGACGGATTGTGAAGATTACCACTCATCTACATCTAGTACCGAGGTCAAGAATTGTGGAGCTATACGTCCACTTCCCCATATATCTTCATGGCATAGTGCTTAATTAAGCACAGAGAAAAGTTTCATCTTCTTGCCGTAGGACAGAGCGAGTTGGCTCAAACATTAACGATTTTGACTTGTGCTCTGTTCGAATGTTCTTCGGGATCCAGACTGTTCTGACTGGCTTTCTTTTTGGGGTGGGGGTTTCGTTAGCCCCACTAGTCAAATTTTGGGATAATACCTCAAATTAGGCCTCGATCACTTGCCTCCAAAAGTTTTCAATTCATTAATCACGATCGTCCACTGATTCGACGCAATGTTGACTGAGTTACTGACATCATCGTTAAATAAGCAACATAAAATGCAAATTACGACTAGAATACCTTACAGCAGGTTGGGCGAGACGTTAGTCGCGGTGTCCCGGTGGGCCACAAACCTGTTTTTGTTCTACCGTCAACCCATGCGACGAAAACCACGTTCTTGTTACCTTGTAGTTCGTAGAAATGTTTGAGGTTGGTTTCTGGAACCTGGCGAGCGGCGGCAAGTATCATCAGCCGAAAATATGGCGCCTGCCCCACAGACGCCCCCGTGGAGTCGTGTTTAAGTTTAGCAGCAGTTTCACAGCGAAATTCACAGAATTGTTGGACATGACGCTGTGTCCGCTTTCTTCGGCGCATGAATTAAACGCATACTTGGTGTGTTCTGTAGTAACCGTGGTAACGAGACATGCTTGCAGCGGATTGTGGTATGATCCCTATTCATTTATTACCATACGTTCCTTATTTTGAAAAAATTAAAGTAGGCTTATGAGATCACCTTGTCGTATGTCTGTGCTTATCCTCCCATTAACTTTTGAATGGCAGAACCAATCTTTATGAAACTTGGTGTGTATATTTATCCAGGCACTTTAG